CGCCGTCACCTAAGCTCGATATTAATGCGAATATTATAAAACGTCGAAAACGAAGTAGTATTTGGAGAAGAAGCAGTGGTCATGTTGCTCATGCACATTTCAATGAAACGACGTTGCAGTGTGCCAGCACAGAATCAAACGGATCTGGAGTAAGTTAATACAACAATGACCATCGGCGAGCTCATTCAGCCGAGCAATTCTTTGGAAACTCCGTTTTTAAAAACAAAGTGATAAGATTCAAGACACCGAAATTTTTTGAGGCTAGGATCTCCTTGAAAATTCCTTATCTTTTGATAATTAGCCAGCGAAGTCTTTAAGTACGAATACTTGTAGCTCGTGAAAGACTTCTTGTTTTCATTTCAGGTATATGACTAAAGAATAAACATTCCAGGAATTGAACGAAAGTGCTGAATGGCTTCTAGCCGTCGCATTGCTAACAGTACCACACGTCCCCGCATCGAATCTTCTCGTTTACGTTGGCTTTGTAGCAGCCGAAAGGATTCTCTATTTGCCCAGCGCCGGTTTTTGTTTACTGATCACATTGCTGATCGATCGATTCTATAAACGTTTCGCCAAATCTGTTAGTTCTCGGTCAGATCCTATCAAATTTTCGTATTCTACCGGAAAAAAATTTTCATATGCAAATATCTCGTTTATCAAACGAAACTACAATTAGATGGATCGTCATCCTTGAGGAGTCCTTCAGTATTGGTTTCAATTTCAGTACGAACGCGCCCATGTGCCGTTATCAGCAGTATGCATCTGCTTACTGATGCTTCATACCGCTCGTCTGATCGCAAGGAATAGCACGTGGACTGATGAAGAGAGTCTCTATCGTTCAGCCGTGCACATCAATCCAGCTAAAGGTAGTGGCTTACTCGACCTAAACGGACATCGTTTCCTTGATCTAACTGTACCAAAATATCCACATGAAAATTGTAGCAAATCTGAGCAGCAGAGTCCCTCCATATTGTGGTCGGCCGGTGCTTTGAGTATCGGTGATCAAATCTGAGCGATATACCTCTAGAAAATTGAAGATGTCTTACAATTAGTCATGGGCAGATTGTCCAGCCAAGATATATATTTTTCGACCTAAACGGACATCATCTGAATAATGGTCGTTGCTAGAAATCAGTTCTAGCTTGTTGAGTGCTCATTGAAGAAGATATTCACTTCATGCTCGAATCGTCCATTATTAGCAATGCTAGCTTTATCAGACTGCTGATCTGAAGTATTATAAATCAGCTGAAGTTTCAAGGTTCTCATATGATTTTAACATACATTACCTGGATTACTTGGATTGGCCAGGCTATCAAACGTTTATAACGTTGCAGGCCACAATGCTCGCGTTTCCGTGCGCATTGTTTTAGCCTCAATTTACGCCACCCCGCTGGCTAAGCGAGCAGGCCATACATATGAACAGATAATTGGATAATAGATACAAGCCGGATCATAGCCTGGCTCAGGCTCACAACATTAATGATATTGGTACACCACTCGGTTTCAAGCAAAACTTTCCTCCGCGAACGGGATTCGAACCCGCGACGTACCAATTACCGGTTGGGACTCTACCTCTGAGCTACCGCGGAGACCGTTCAGTCTCACCCAAGTGATTGTGTTAAGATCGCAGTCAGTTCTCTAGTGCACATAATGTGAAACTGATCTGAAGAACGTCAAACGTTACAATCAGAGCGAACTGATCTATCCGCGATCACGATAACATAACGAATAATCAGATAATTGGATAATAGATAGAAGCCGGATCATAGCCTGGCTCAGGCTCACAACATTAATGATATTGGTACACCACTCGGTTTCAAGTAAAACTTTCCTCCGCGAACGGGAAAGTTCGGTGTAGTGCATGCCTGTCACGTTAAGTTCGGTGTAGTGCATGCCTGTCACGTTCAAGCTTGTTCTTTTTGGAGAGTTAGAAGTGATAATTCAGACGACTCTGCTCAGGTAAACGATTATTCTTTTGGTTTGTTGTTTTGAAACGGTGCTGGAGAGGATTAATTAACGATATGTATGCAGCGATGGTAGTGAATACGCACGTCAATCCATTTTAATATAATTTATTATCATGCAGTTTCACATTGAAGCATGGAAGTGAAATAGGAGATTGAACAGTTTGCTGTTTCCGAGCAACGGAGTATCAAGAGGAATATTACACTCGATTCACATTAACTGCTGATCAACCATTCTGAAACAATCGTTATACTGTAGACTGATGGATCGCTAAACAGAATCAAGCAGACTTGTGATACGAGCTGATAAATCATAACATTTGAGTGATAATGAATGAGCAATAAAGTTGATTGAGCACATTCTAAACAAAACAATAAAATACGAATCTTTTTTCAAACAGAACCAACGGTAGAAATGAATAAAACGAATAGTGATAGATGGAACAATAACCGTATTTCTGTTGGTTTTACGTTCGGGAATGCATGGAAGCATGGATTGTTCAAGACTCTCGCTAACGTAATGCTCTTCAATAATGACATCGTTCGCTCGTTTGCGTTGAGGCGGATATAAATATGCCCATTCGGGTTGCATAAAATAAAAACTTGCATCACATTCCATATCATCTTCATTATGATTGGTATTGCTTGCAGTTTTAGCTGTGCCAATCAATTCAGAAGGCTTCTGTTCTATTTTATTGACGGCTAATTGAGACTGGAATTGAGTAGCATCTTTATCGTTATTAATTCTCGGAGCGTTTATCGGCGATACGATGCGTCTGGCTGTAGGTGCACCCTTTATACCCGAGTCTTCACTTGCGCTCTTTCTTGCCTGAATTCAATACTTTCTGATGAGATCAAAGCTTATTCATGTCTTTATACACAAACATACCTCAGTGTTTGTTTTAAGTATAGCAGCTGAGCGTTTATTGAAGGATGCTCGTAGTGCAGACAAGGTTTCTTCACTTATCGCAAGACATTTAGCTCTTCGATTCGCTGACACTTTGTTGATATCTTCATCATTCATCACAGCTCGAATCTTTTCATTTGGTTTTCGTCTTGATCGCGTCACAGGCTTTCTTACTGGCACTGGTAGTGGTAACTGGATCATGTGCGTTCTCGAATAATAAAAATTCTCATACTGACGACAAAAATCTAAAATATTTATCATCGGTTCTTGCATTTTTGTTCCTTATTTGACCTTAGTGTAAACTGCATCTTACACCGAGTGTATCTTCTTCATTCATTGCTCTCAACATCAATGAAACATTCCCATTTTTTGTTTAATCATACGTTCAATTAGAATTTTGATCAGTAAACCGTTCAGTGAAAAAGACGATGTTTTCTAAGAGATCTAAGACGATACGGCTATGATAAAATATAAAATATGGTATTATACTTTGAACAGTTTTATCATAAATGATGCCCTTATTGATGAGTCTTTGTATGACGATATAATGGATATACAAATACTGTTCCTCTGTTTGAACGGCCTTTGAGCGTTGCGAACGCAGTGACCAAATGACGTCGGATATTGAAAGGTTTCTACCGAGCATCAACGATCTGCAATGATCAGATTTAGAGGATGAGTAANGGTTATTGTCCAAATGAAACAAGTGAGAGGAGTACAAAAGAAAAAAGAATAGGAGTGAACATTAACAAACGAGTGGAATGAAAAGCGAGAACGAAGAAAGGGAAAAACCATTAGGGGTGAGTGAGTTGGTTCGAAAGAAGAGGTCTGGCAAAGTGGGTTACGATAAAGCTGAAAGTAACCAACCGAATGAAGACTTCAAGAGCAACCAGCGTTCCTGTACGTCCAATGCCCGCAGAGCAATGAATAACAGTAGGTTGCTTCCGTTGTCTAGCCAATGATAGCAGAATGAATGGCACTACCAACTGCTGCGGTACAAACTTATCAGGCCATGTTATCCATTGATAATGCGTTATTAAGCGTTGTTCACCGCCATGTTCTAACATCAAATCACTACCCCAAATATCTGCGTCTTTACTACGTATCTATAAATTCCAAAATGTTTCCAAAATAAATCGACATTATTCACGACAAGAACGGTGCATCTTACGCTCCACATTTCAACACAAGATGATGCACATTCTTATAAAATCATACATATCTGAATGGGCGTAAACGAATCACTGATTTCAGATTATTGCAGGATTGAAGATTCATTTTAATTAAAGAAGACGAACACATTGTAACACCACTAACAGTCTCGTTTCTGATCGTAATCCCATTGTAAGTCTTCTTCTCACCGACTATATTAGGCCAATACAGTGCACATTTCGGTCTACCGGCCTCGGTGACTCGACACAACATAAGAATAAGGTCTGCCTTCTGTTGCCACACCATTCTCCAAAAATCACCAATCGTCGTCTCCAACGGACCCTCAATTTGAATAAATGATTAAGAATTATGAATTGATAGATGCGAACCTGTGTGCAAATGAATCTGTTCTCCAGCATCTCATGAGTGACCCAATTCGCATGAATGAAATCGCCCGGTGCATTCGGCCATGGCTCCAATACAACACGCGTTCGATCCAGGCAAGGAACATCTTAAAGATTCATCCATCCATTTTGTACGCTCATCTTTGGTCACCATTCATTCGTCAACATTTATTCGCCGAATGTAATAACTCGATGAAACAAATCNATTCGCATGAATGAAATCGCCCGGTGCATTCGGCCATGGCTCCAATACAACACGCGTTCGATCCAGGCAAGGAACATCTTAAAGATTCATCCATTTTGTACGCTCATC